CCGGGAGTGCGCCGCCCTCGGCACAGGACGGCACGTGCCCGCCATCAGCACAGGACGGCAGGTGCACGCCCCCACACTAAGGATCTCCCGTTGAATTAAGGGCTGTTGGAATTCCCCGCCTCAAGCACAGCATCCATGGGAACCTTCACCTCGACCCCAATCTCGGCTTATCATCTATGGAAATAGCGATCATGCTTCAAAGCTTTGAACTCTTTCATTAAAAATGAAGCCAAAGGAAAACATTCTTAGAGAGCCACTTTTCTGCCCTCATCTGCCCTGACACCTACATCAGTATGTAAAGGCTGCATACGAGACGTGCACTCCACACACACACACACACACACGCGCACGGACACACGTGTGTACACGAATTGTGATAACCCAATCTCCGCGTCGTCCAGAGGTGCAAGTAGACAGCTCAGTTCCTACAGGCATGGTGCGTGGCTTACCCGGAAAATCTTGTTGCCAAACTTGCACACTCCCACGTGCTCCGAGGGGAGGCGCTGCAGGCACTCTTCACAGCAGCCCTCGTCACGGCTGTCAACGCCGCGCCGTCCTTATGGGTGGGCAGGCCGGAGAGCTGACACGGATTCCTCCCTGACCTGCAGACCCGAGCAGCAGGCTTGGATTAGCAGAGAAGTGAGTGAGACATTTGATGACGCCTCCTTGTCCCTCCCTCCCTCTGAAGCTATTTTAGGGACAGCCTATCCTCTGGCCTCTCTGAGGTGAGAAGGACTTAACTGGACTGCTCCACACTCTGCAAGGACTCAGAGTCTCTGCGAAGTCTTCAGGCCTCCCTCACTTAAAGGACACTTTCCACAAGGTGACGTCAAAGTGCTTAGCACACGACACTGCAGGTCTGTTCCATCTGGTGCTCTAAGCACAGGCCAGGACTTCATAAAGAGGGCAGGTGCGTGCTCTGAGAGCCCGGTATCAATACCATGCGTGCACACCATTGGTATCAATATGACACATGCAGACCATTGGTGTCAGTACGACACTTGCACACCATCCGTACAGTACGGCACGTTAACGCCATTGGTATTGGTATGACACGTGCACATGATCAGCACAGTATACAACATGTGCATGCGATCAATACAGCATGGCACACATGCATGCCATCAGCACAGGATGGCACATGCATGCCATGGGTACACTATGACACATGCATGCCATCGGCACAGGACGGCACATGCATGCCATGGGTACACTATGACACATGCATGCCATCGGCACAGGACGGCAGGTGCACGCCATCGGCACAGGACGGCACGTGCACGCCATCAGCACAGGACGGCAGGTGCACGCCCCCACACTAAGGATCTCCCGTTGAATTAAGGGCTGTTGGAATTCCCCGCCTCAAGCACAGCATCCATGGGAACCTTCACCTCGACCCCAATCTCGGCTTATCATCTATGGAAATAGCGATCATGCTTCAAAGCTTTGAACTCTTTCATTAAAAATGAAGCCAAAGGAAAACATTCTTAGAGAGCCACTTTTCTGCCCTCATCTGCCCTGACACCTACATCAGTATGTAAAGGCTGCATACGAGACGTGCACTCCACACACACACACACACACACACGCGCACGGACACACGTGTACACGAATTGTGATAACCCAATCTCCGCGTCGTCCAGAGGTGCAAGTAGACAGCTCAGTTCCCAGTGTGGACGCATTTCTTCTTACAGACCACGGTGGAGTCCTGGGGGCAAAGGCAGAGTAGGAGCTGAAAACCATCTTCATCTCCGTCTCCCTGAACACCCCACCTGGCCTCTGTGGACGGCCCACAACAATCTGCCTTCACATACAGGAGTAGGGACTGGATCTCGATCTGTGGCCATGGTTCATTCACTTCACAGGTACCTGTTGACTAAGTGTCTAGACCAGAGAGTGTGGGCGCTGTGGGCTCACGGCCTCCAGGCCCCGGCCCGGCCTCACACTCTCACAGCTGAGAGGCCCGAGCATCTGCTCAGCGGGTCCAGAGCCCTCCTCGCCACATACCCTGAGCAGTGCCCTCCGGGTCTCGCCCCCGGC